AACAATAATGAAGGTAGTTTTAAATGCTGATGTAGGCAGAAAGAATCACTGAGCTTTCTTTCTGAAAAGTTGTTGAAAAGTACTTTATTTGCTCTATGCTGATACTTAAACTTTCAGGAGAGTTGTTTAAAAAAAAAATTAAAACTTCAGCAATAGGTTTACTTTTATTTTTTAGGGATAGTTTTAATAAGCATGGCAGCATTTCATGAGTAGGCTTTTCATCTGAAGCTACATGATATACAGATGTTACCAGATATGCAAATTGTTTTTCATCTTTTATTTTTTATTAAGGCAGGATAATAAGAACAGGAATCTCCAAAATTCTGTTTCTGCATAGTTAGTGTAATGTCTTTTACCATTTGAGACTTGTTTTACTGGGTGCTTTTTTACGTTTAAATCTTGTTTGTGCTAGCAAAACACACAGAATATGTTTCTTGCCGGATCATGAAAGTGTAGAAAACCTCTGTCCAGACTACTTTTTTGATAATCTTTGTAAGAAATTTCTTGGAAAAATCAGAGAATTACTGAATTGAGCTTTAAGTATTAAATGCTCTTACTGTTAGGTATTCTAAATTTGTGTAAAGTAGATCCAGCTTCCTTGCATATATTGTAAGTGTAGACCAGTTAATAATGAAGAAATTTTGGGTTCTATCTGATCATGAGTTTATGGAGCTTTGTTTCATCTTGAAGAAGAAAAAATAGTAATATTTGATACAGAAACAGTGGAAGGAAAGGATGTGAGAATGCTGTCAGCTGGTGTTATGTTTGTTTTGAATCCTGCAGTCAGAATAGTTTTAGTTTTCTCTTTTGCCCATACAAAATTCTTTTGACATTCATTAAGTTCTGCAGAAGTTCAAGAAGCTCCTTTTCATGTGCATTTGATTTCAGGACTGAGGTTGTAAATTAGCATGGTATCTTAGTGACATGCTGCTACATTGGAGAAAAAATTCTGAATGAGCTGGGCATAAACTTTGATATGAGTTCTTAACAATTAATTGTTTTTTTAAATTTGTCTTTGCCTTTGATTACACTGAAAATCAAGCTTTAATGTAACTGACCACTTGGTCAGTTCAGTTTCACTAATTTACATGTTTTGATTCTTCAATAGAGGCTTACAGCTAATCCAGGAGGTAAGCAACGTAGCAGACTGTCCATCATGTCTCAGCATCTCTGCACTGTTGAAAACTGTTTCATAATTCCAGGTCAAGCCTTTGTTCCAAAGCCAGAGGTAAGTTTTGATGTATTTCTTTGTTTTTTTTCTTAATTTGTCAGTCAAGCAACATACCTGATTTTGAGTAAGGAAGACAGTTGGGTGCTCAAGTTCAACATCTCCATACTATGAAGTGGAGTGATGTGATATTCCTGTAAATGAAGCACACTTGCTTCAAGAAGATGCTTTTCTTTTTGGTTCCTCAGAACTTGGCTTTGACCTTCAAGCCTGTCTGCAAGATCAGCGTACTTCTTTGGGTGTTTCTGGAGAGGGAGACTAGGATTTAATGACAGGATTGTCTGCTAGGATTGTAGCATCTTGGGAAAGCCTGCTGTTTTACAGTTCGCATTTATAAACAGTTTGGGAATTGTGCCTAGAAAATTTGATGGGTCTTTCGAAAAAGACCCTGATAAAGAAAAGCTTTTCATTTGTCATCTTTGTCAAAGATCTCTAATTTTATCATGTCTATAATCTTTATGTTTCACTTACTCATCTTTAGCATATTTAACTCCCTCCTATTCGCTATAGCACTTTGTCACCTACATCCCACTGCCTGTTTAAAAAAGTAACAGTCTTTTCTCCCTCCTATCTGCTCTTAAGTGGGTAGAGGAGAACAGTCTCTTTCCTGTCCTCTTACCTACTGCCACTGATTTTCATTAATGGCCATTATGATTACAGGAATCAAGAATTAAGAAATTAAACTGTATTTTGGACCAGAATGTATCTTTTTTTTTTCTTTTTTTTTTTTTTGTTGTTGTAAAAATGTGTGCCTGACACTAAGTGGGGTCTGTTTGCCCTGAATGCACATGGAAATCTACCGTTCTGTTTCAGAAATGGACTTGCAGCTTCTGAAAGTTCCTCTTAAACTGATTGGTTCAGCTCAGCAATACATTTTCCTTCCCCCTTATCACAGTCTCCCTCTTGGTCTTTTTACTCTTCAGGCTTATCTCTTGAGAACCTTTGGAAGGTCATCTCTCTCTTTTATCACAATGAATTTTAAGGCCTCTATCTGGGCATATTCTGATGATGATTTAAATTCTGTTAGTATTTTTTGAGCAAGTAACTGTTCAAACATGTTAAATTATTAGTCATGACAGCAGTCTGTTGTGAAGAAAAATGACCATGCTTAAGACATCTTATTTTTTGGTTTGCGTTTTTGGGTTGGTTCCCCCTCCCCCCGCCCCGTCTCCTAGCTGAATGAAAAATAATTTCAGGATGTCATCTCACTGTTAAATATGTGAAATAGTGTTCAGTAAGGTCAAAATTCTGTGGTGGTTTCTCAATCGTGGATACAATTTGTGGGCATAGGAGGGCTAGTGTAGTTAAAAGTCTTGTGCAGACTGTCTCAGAATTGGGAAGCTATAATTGATATTCCCATTTTCCTGTACTGAAAAGGCCATAGTTGACTGAGGGAGAGGTAACGCGTAAAGCTGTGACAAATGTCTTAGTATAAGCAAATTTTATTTAATATATTTTTGAGTTAAAACAAGTATTGCTTATATTGCAAAAGCAGAAAGTACAAATTTTTCAGACAGACTTGGCACCTGTTTTCACTATATTTTGTTTCCTTCAAACTCCTGTTGTAGATTGATCTTCTGTTTTGTCCCTGCTCTTTTAGCTGTAGACCAACTTGTGGTTTTAGATATTACTGTTTCTGATAGAATCTTTGTTTTCTTGGAAAGCTCTTGCAGCATATTGGGAATGAAGTGGCTCAGTGCTTGATTTTTGTTTCATAGGTATACAAAGAAGTTCAGGTACTTCTGTATAAAGCTGTAGGAAGAAAAATGTGCTGCTTATGTAACTGATGAATACTTCATTTTGCTCATAGTATGCAATTACTACCTTTTTCTTATGCCCTCCTTTGGTTCTTATTTTACAAATGTTAGTTTTAATTCACATACCTAGCAATGATCACAGCTTAGTGTCGTGTTAAACCCTTCACTCTAAAGGTGGAAATGCATGGTTTTGGGAATGAGTTGTTTACCTCATTTGCTCAATGAATGAATTAAATTATTTCAACAATACCTATGAATGTTGAGACGTGAAAGACTCTTGGTTTACGGAATGGAATGGTGCTGCACAGCATTATGTCTAAGCAAAAAAAAATTTGGCTTTCTGGTCATAGTTAAGTCTCTGCAGTACTGAATAACTGCTGATATTAGCATTAGGAACAGTACAAAACAAGCTCCTTGATGAGTACATAGGAAACTCAAAATGGCTACCTAACAGCAGTAATACAAACAAGACATAATTTCGTTCTATGTATATTAGAATAAAGACTCTTTACATATTAGATTTATAAAACATTTCATTTTCTCAAATGCTATAGCAGAAGATCTTACTTTTTCCTACAAACTACATACACAAGTTAAGGCCCCTCCATACTGTTTTAGTGAATTTCGGGGTAATAATAGGGAAATGAAAGTTGTATATAAATAGCAGTTGGTTTTGTTGAAAGACTTGTCCAGCATTATCATATTCCTAAATTTAAAGGCCTGTATCATATCCCCTTTTCATTCCCTTACCTATGCTAGCAAATTAACATCAATTTGATTCTCGTTTAGGGAAGCATTTCGATAGAACATACTCTGCCAATGACCAATACAAAACCAAATCTGTGTGTTGAAAGAAAAGGTTAAAGGATCTAAGTTTATTAAGCAAAATAAGGGGGTTAAGAAAATAAATTTAAATGAAGAAGCAGCTATCTCTTTATCACCATTGTATATTACATTTTACAGTAATAGAATACATGGTAGTGGGCCTGAAACAGACCCTACTGGAGTAATTAAAAAGACTTACAAAGTTCTTTTAGAAGGCCAGAAATGTAGAAGACCATAAACGGTAGCTGTATTATTTGAGCTGTTAAAAGCTGCTTTGAGCAAGTGTAAGCCAAAACGCTTCCAGATTTTTCTGGAACATAGATATTTAGTTTGTGTCCTGCGTGTTACAGTTTGCAGGTGTTTTCATAGTCATGGCTACATTTCTGTTATTGTATTGCTCCTCAACTCTAACATTCATTGTGTAGTCATAGATTAGTAGCAATTGGTGAATGCCCAGTAGACATTTCTTTAACAATAATAAATGAAACCCACAGCAGGTGGCAGTTTGGGGCGGGAGAGCATTTTTGGCAAGATCTGAATGGTACTGCTGATTTTTCAGCCTGATATGCAGAATATACAATGCAGCTAAGGTTTGGGGCTATGGGTTTTTGTTGTGGTTTTTTGTTTTGGTTTGGTTTTTGTGTGTGTGTTTGTTTTTTGTTTGGTTTTGTTCTTTAAAATCTAGTTACCAAGGCAATTTAGAACGGAACGTGAAAGGCAGATGTGTCTGTTACTTAAAAACCATTGAATTTGGCTTCTTGGACAGAGAGTGGTTGGGGTTTTTTTTCCTTGCATCATAATTAAAAAAAAGATTAAAATGTCAAATACACGATAAAACATTGTATGTTATTGATAGCCTGATTTGCTAAATAGAAAGCAGTTAGCTTTTAAGCATCTTTGCTGTAACAAGCCGTCAGTACATTAATTGTACTGTCAGTTACGTTTTAAAGTAGTTCCTTTTTCTTCAATAAATGCCTGAAAAAATCAACAAAAAAAAGTACTTTTGTAGCAGACTTAAGCATTGTTTCCTACTTCATTCTTTTTGCGGATGCCGCTATAAATGAAATACCTTGCTTAAACATAATTGCAACCCAGATGTAAGAAAAGTTAAGTGCTATGTTATACTTTCTTTGAAATAATCAAACTACACTTAGCACAAAAAAAGCCCCAATGGATAGAAATAACTGTATTTACACATAGTCCTTCAGGTTGTAACCTGCGTTGCTGTCCTGCTCTGTGGATGGGAAATGGTGCTTTGGAGGGTAAATCCATGCTCCTTGCTGCTTTTTAAAACAGGAAGTGCAGAATATCACACCTGCGATAAGCAGAAACCCTGCTGAAATGAATCCTGTATAAACCGCTCCTCCTGGTTCATGTTTAGTGCTCTCTGGAATGGTCTGGTCCAGAAAATTTGAAATAATTTCTCTCGTGTACCAGGATGTTGGTACTAATCCAAAGATTCCTGCAAGAATGAAGCAGACTCCTCCAGCAAAACAAGCATGACTTTTGCTGTCAGTGTCCCCTCCCAACTTTGTGCATTTCATTCCAACGGTAGTGATGCAGATCCCAAAGGCTGATAGGATACAAGACAGTACCATGGTGGTCCGTGCAGCCTGGATGTAGACGGGGAGAGAGAGAACCGAGTATTTCAGGGTACAGCTAAACATCCCAGTGCTGTACCATGTGCAGTCCATCCAAAGTCCTTGCATCTGTGTTATAGCTGTTATGATATTTGAACCAACATCTGCATTTACCTTCCAGTTTGGTAGCAGCGTGGCTGCAATATCCCCCAAAACACCGAACAAAGCCAGAATAAAAGCAAAGAACTGCAGACTTGCTGATGCCATGATGATTATCTGCTGTCACCTTTTGTCTGCCTGTTTCTCTCTTGTAAATGAGTGTAACTGGTTGGTAGCTTCGTAGCCAAGGCTGTAGCCCTCTGTGTAATAGGGAGGAAGGGGAGGGAGGAGAGGTGTGAGGGGGAAAGAAAAAGAAATCAGCAAACAAAAAAAGCGTGCATTTAAAATTAGAGCTATCTGAATGAGTATCTGACCATGACCCTGCAGCAGATGAGAGCAGCTGAGCAGCTGTACACGAGGTACTTGAATGTAAATGGCAAATGGACAGTGTTTTAGAATTGCTTGTAAGAAGGAGCTGCTGCCCTTTCATACATGATTGCAAGCCATCAAGCAAAACTTATTTTACTGGAGTTGTTTTTGGTAATAGTATACAGATTGCCGCCTTACTAGACAAATATACATTGTAAATGGAACATTAGAAACTTGCAGATCAGAAGTCATTGTGGAAAAACGCTGTGGTAGAAAATATATTGTACTCTTCAAGTACCTTCTTTAAGTGTGTTGATGGCTATAGTCAGCTCCTGTTGACTCTAACAATGAACATTGATCATATTATCTTTTCTTTAAAGTATGGTTAAAGGTAACCCTTTATTTCAGTTATTTAAATATTTTCTGTTCTTTTGTTTAATAACTGTTATGAAATTTCATGTTTTTGAAGGAGAATAAGATTGAATTTAATTTTTACAGTGTTTTCACAATTAAGTCACATGTGACTTTTCTAAACCAGTATTTTAATTTCAAGTCAGTGATTCTCGGCCCTTGACTTAGAGCAGGAGTATTGAGCAAGTCATAACAGTGAATATGATGTGCTTTTTTCTATAAAATAAAATACTGTTTTTAACACTGATACGGAACAGCTCAGTTGTATAAGTGCATTTTTTTTAATCAGTCACTTACCTGTCTGAAATTGTTCACAAATTTGCCATGAAGTGGCAGTTTTAAAAATTCATTAAAAAACCTCCCTGCTATTCTTGCATAAAAAGTCAAATTTCATTTCACAGTTGAGAACATTTTAGGCAGTATAACTGCACCTGGGAAGACAGAACTGTTGCTGTTACATCAGCTGGACTGTTGGGATAGCAGATGAAGAAAAATGGTTTGAAACCTCTGTGACGAGGATTAGAAATGGTGTCCTGCCTTTTGAGTGGGGCTGTATAATTGGCAGGTTTTGTCTTTTATCAGAGTGATAGAGAAAGGGCGGTGCTCAGTCTGGATTTTTCTTTCTAAGACATTCTATCTAAATATGAACAATAATATTAAAATTGGTCTTTAGCATTAGAACTTTTTCGAAAAGCCATAATAATAGGGGATAAAGTTGAAATAAGTGGAACACAATATTTATCTGCGGCATTGTACTCTTATTTCAATTCATTATACATGAGACAACAAGGTTTTGGTCAATATGTATTCTATCAGTCTTTATTGGCATTACATGACAAGTAATCCTCTAATTTATATATTGTCCTTAGTTCAGGTAGTTGTTCAAGGATGTGCTGACTCTGTCCAGCATATACATATTAAAAATGCTTATAGTTAAGGTGAGAACGTTAACAGCTATTCATTTTTAAAATCTTATTCCAAAGACCTGCCTATTTCCAAATTCCTTCAGTTTGTTCAGACTGTGAAGAGTTACTTTGGCAAATACATATCACTTGCTTGTATCCGGCCCACAGGAAAGATGGCTTAACTTCCTTTTACAGAAGGAACTGACATGTCTGGATAGCTCAAAACTCATTCAAAAGCATGTTCTGGAACAGCTAATTAGGATCTTGAGTTAGCCTTTTTCATTGCTTCGTTTTTAAAATTTCAGCATATACAAACATGCAAACATAAACGCAAACCACTGCAAATGGTAGTCATACATTACATTTAATGGGATGAACCAAATTAAAGGCACGATAAATTCAAGTATAAGCACTGCAAGTGTAATAAAAAATACAGTAATGTTTCATTCCAGTTTGTGTAGCACTTACTGCTGGATGTGAGGTCTGAGATGTTTTCTTCACTGTAGATGTCCTGGAAAAATGCAGTTTTTCTTGAATGGAACTATCCCTTCTCCTATAAAACTGCATTGGCATGTATTAACAAAATTTCATGGAATGTTGTTTTTTTTCTCTTCTCTACAGCAAGTGCATTACTGCTGTTTGTTCGCTCTCTTAGTTCCATCTACCCGAGAATAAAGGAGTACTTTGTTTAATGAGTTTCATTTGACAAACACTCAGTAAGGGAAAGCAAAGAGATTATGGAGAAAAACACATGGAGGCCCTTAGTCCTAAATACATAATGATATCCAGGTTCTGTGATGAAAATTCCGAATAGTGATTAAAAGGAGTAAAATCTTGAGAATCCAGAAACTCTGTAGACTTACGGATTGGGGGGGGGGGGGGGGAGGGGGGGCAGAAAAGCGGGGAGGGTAGGATTCATTTATGTTGAACTGAGAGCCAGAGCTAGAGGGTTTTGTTGTTTGTGGGTTGTTGGGTTTTTTTCATCACAGATAATCTTATTAAGTGTTTAAATTTCCTAAGAAAGAACTATGCAATTTATTTTAATTTGTAATTGGAACAGCAGGACATTTCTATTCAACTACAGGTTTTGCTTATCTCTTCTTGATAGCCTTAGCCTTCTGTAGGTCATCCTATAACTTGCATCTGTATGAGTCTGTATAAAAGAAGGAAGGAAGAAAGCTACTAATAAGGCTTATATGGTAACTGCAGCACATCACTGAAGTGGCCTCGAAAAGTTGGTGTGTGAAATCAAGAAGTTAGGAGAAAAGTCTTGCTGATTGCAGCAGCGATATACCCATAGGTTTTGGTCTCCTGTGCTCCTGTTTGTGAGCCTAGTGTGAATGGAATTAAGTTACAGGAATTAGATTATTGTTATTAGTGCAGTGGCACAGTTATTTTCTGCTGGAAGTGAACCAAAATGAAACCCTCACATCAGAACAAGATCACTATGAGATACACTATCTGGTGTTAGATCTAACATTTGGCTGTAGTAGACAGGTAAAATGCTGGTACTGAACACTTGGTTGGTGAAAGTGCTGGCTTCGAACTGTCTTAGTAGGATCTCAAGTAGTCCGTTTTAATGAAGTTGTAGTATGTTCTGCTTAGGTTTCAGTTCCCTGTGAGTAAATTACAGCTTGAAAAAGGGTATTGTGGGTTTGCTTTTAATACAGTCCTGTTGCAAGATGCATGTATTGCCCATCATGAGACCTTTATTGTTAACAATTAGTAAAAATTGTCTCATTTAAGCTTATTCTGATTTAGAGTGTTGATTTCATCAGCAAGGCAGCAGACTTCTCTGAATTGAATTGTACTCTGTCATGTGTTCCTCCTACCCTACTAGAACATAAACCTTCATTGTACTGATACACTAAAACAGCGAGGGGTGAATAATTGCTGTACTATTGACAGTTCAGGATATATCAGTTGAATAATTTTCATATTCATTATTTTGTAAGAATTGAGCATTATTTTGTAAATATTTCTAACATACTTGGTGGTGGTGGGAAAGTGTTACTAATAAAATTATCAGCAAATTAACTTGTGTATTTTAAGTGCTGTTGTGTATTCTGTATTGGCTTTCATAATTCTACTCTATTTTATGCATATTAAAAAGGTTAGGGAAAAATAGCATGTATAATTTTAAAGGAGTGGCCAATTACAAGTGAAAAGCTTTCTCCTGTATCTGTTGCTATAGTAACCAGGCAGCTTTCCTGGGGTCCAAAGAAAACAGCGTCTATAATGGAACAAATGCTGAGAAGTGCTGTGTTTTGTTTCAGAAACAGAAATTATTGCCCACTGGCCTTGAGATTGCAAATTGAGCTGTTCTTCTCTTCAACTGTATACTGCATCTAGATTGTGTTCTTTTTTCTTTTCCTTCAGAAATTTTTGTTAAAGATGCAGGTCCTACACCCAGAGAGCCCTCATATCTCACTGACAAGCAATTCTGCAAAACTGAGGCGACTGTGAGATCCCAAATGGTCTCTGGTGGTTTTCTTATCCCTAATTTTGCAGGGGAAATACCTTGTTTTATTTCTTGACAAAAATGTAGATGAACATATATGTGTGTAAATAAGCCCTTAGTATTTCTGTGCAAGGAGCTGGCTGGTCGTGTGAAGTATGTATTTATTTGCCCCGTTCAAAAAGATAAACTTTCTGACACTCAATGTGAACACAAGGTTTTGCCGCGTTCCTGTGGTCTTCCTGACAGGTAGCAGCAAGCTGTGCAAGGGTAGAAGCTATCAACACAGGAGAAATTCAGAAACTGCTTTGGAAAATAGATTTATGTTCATTTCACTGCGGATTCCATATGTCAGGTTTTCTTTGTCACCTCATTTTTAAGTAAGTTCTTGTGTCTTTACATTTTAGTAATTCAAGCATTTTTTCTGTCTTACTCTTGACTCCTAGCTTTCAGGAAAGGTGGAAAAGTAGAGAAAAAACATCTGTAACATATACTTGAGATCAGCAGTGCTAATACTGGAAACTTGCTGCATTTTTTTTCGTCAGCACTGTTAATCAGTATTTTCTTTCCTTTCTCTAGCCAGTATTTTCGTTCAGCTTTTTAAGTTCTGCCTACATGAAAAACTTAGGTTGTTTGAATTTCAGATTTCTGTTGAAGGCATATACAGTCCCTCTGCTGTTGAAGCAGTTGTACTGGATAGATGTACTTGACAGCTGAGCTGTTCCCACTGGAAGTACAACGTAGATGGATGGCACCTTTGTGCCAGAAGAATATGTCCACATCAGAGGTTACTACGATTTAATTGATTTTAAAAAACCCCACACAAACTTAGAGCAGTTTTGGTTAGAGCAGTAGAAGAAACCCTCTCTTTTTTTTTTTTTGAAGTTTTTTGGGGTTTTTTCGAAGTGTGCTTGGAAGAGAAGCTGTTCTTTGGTTTGAGAATATCTTTTATTTCAGTCAGAACTAGCACATCTTCAATTTAATGTCATATAGAATCTGTTCTATGAATGCCAATATTGACTTTCAGACCTTTAAAGATGGATGATTGTCCATCGTATTAGTAGATTTTTTTAATAAGAGACTGAATATTTTTAAAAGTCTGGCACTTACAAATTTTGTAGTCATTCAGTAGTACTGGTACAAATTGTACAAATTTTCATTGTGTTTTCATTTTTATTGTTGTTAGTATCTAGTTTGGAAGATGAACTGCTTTATTCAATTTGTGCAGAACTGGATTTTTAGCCCAGCCTGTATTTTGTGATACAGAAGTCTGAATTCAGGGCATTTCCTATAATACAGTATCTCTATAATTGCATGACATATTTATGTGTTTAATATGTATATATGTGTACATTGAAGGAATGTTGTTACTTCATTCTGTTTTCAGACACAGGGAAGGTGACCGTTCTGTGAACCAAGCTGATTTTAGAACTGTAAAAGAAGAAAACAAGCTTGAAAGAGACCTGTGTAGAAGCATTCAAATATAATTTTGGATGAACTGTGATACACAGTGTAAATACGGAGTTGTATGGTCGCTTAAACTGAATGCAAACTTATTTCTACCTACCATTCCTTTAAACAGACTAGAATTTTAAAATCTTAGTATGTTGAAAAGTAATTCCTTGGCTTATGTTTTAGAAAAGCCCTAGAGCACAGAAGACATATAGGGAATGAGTTTGATTTCTAATTATAATACCAATTTTCTCCGGCTGCCCTTCAGCCTGTATCTGGAATATTGTCTAATTTGTGCATCATGTCAGAATTGTCTTGTGGAACGATCTGAAGAAAGAAGTGCTAATTACTTTACAGATTACATGGAAGTTGCTCTAGATGGAGGAAGTGCCATGGGGAAAAAAGTACGAAGCGCTAATGGCATGTGAACTAATTGGAAATATGTAGATAACTAAGACAGACTAAAATTCTGTAGGGCCTTGAAAGTTAAGCCAAATCCTTATATTCAAATACTATGACATTAGTCACTGCACAGCTACGTTACCTGTCACAATAATGTCTTTCTATGTTCTGCCTGTTTCCTGACGTCTAACCAGTTAACTTAGAAATAATGGGTCTCGGAGGAATATATCTACTCAAATTTATCTTTCTTTTCCTTATAGGTGGATGTGGCTGTGGTGCATTTCACTCCATTGGTGCAACCAAAGATACAGCAGCCGTTCAAGCTAGTAGAAAAAGTGGTTCAAAGTGTTTTTCAGTTTAGAAGAAAATACTGCTTCCGTGGAATCGAGTAAGGATCTGTAATGAAAAATTCTCAGATACTGTTTTTGTAAATGCATCAGCTACTAAATCAGTTGAGAAAACTTGTAGCTACACATTGATTTTATTCCTCCCTTTTTTTTAAATACGTCATCATAGTTCATCAGATCTTTCCATTTCAGAACAGTTTCTGGAGACAAAACTATGAGATGACTCTCTTTCTGCTGTAATTATATAATAATACTGTGCACTTTTGTTAGAGCAGTTGAAGCTGTTAAAATTACTAGGATAAACTGATGATCTTTCTAATAGTTTGTCTGTCTCAGAAACAAAACAAAAAACCCACCAACCACAAAAACTACAGCATTTGTTGGTTGAGTTAAAAATGAAAGTACCAAAATTCAGAACCAAAGATGGCAGCGTGAGGAGGGAGAACGTGAGCTGTGGGAAATTTTACTTATTTGGGGATAATGTCAAAAGGTCAAATTCTTGTTTCTGTGCTTGCCCTTTTATGGAGTTCTTACTGACTTTAAAAATCCCCATGTCTTACTGAGGGAATTTATTAGGTTCTCTAACTGATGCAAGAAACCTGCAGTTTGTTTGCCAGGGATCCTGTTAAAACTCCAGCATAGCCACGTGTCTGACTTGGTGTGGGGAAAACCCAGCGTTCGGTGTTGTAGAACATGTGACAGAGCTGCTGTTAGGACTAGAGGCATGCTGCTGCACCATGGGCTAGCTGAATTTTGCTGGGCATGGTTTTGGCCCTGATGCAGTCTAGAATTAGGATGGATGCCACCCTACTGAGCTACAAGCCTTATATGTCACTATTTTAAAAGTGAACATAGAATTTTGCCTCTAGTTTTGTTTTTTTTGCTTGAGGCAGTGAATGTCATTGACGTCTGGGATGCAGACATTGGATCTAAAATGAGTACCCATTTGCCTGTGTTAAGGTTGAGTATGCATTTAGAGGTGTGTAGAAAATGAGGTATCCGAACTGTAGATCAACTTGTATTTGATCTACAGGGTGGTGGGTGGTTTTTTTTGTGAAAGAACAGTTTCAGTTGACAATATAAGCAGAAGATATGTGCAATCAGCGTATCTACATTATGTAGAATATTTTTGCCAAAGTTTAAAAAAAACTCCCACAACTATTCTGTAATCTCAAATTGCTAATAACTGCTCTACATTCTTTTGAGGTAAGGAGGGGGAATCTGAACTTTTGGACGTCACGTATCCCCTAGCAGCTTATCATACTTTAGCCCTAGTGTGCAGCTAAGAAACACAATCCTCTCATTCTTTAGCTGACCTGAAAAAAATAGCAAATTTTGGTGTATAATAAGGCTATTGCGTTCCTTATAAGGTATCTATGTAGCTGTCTATCGCATATACTGTATAAAACCAAGGTAATAGAATCAGTTTACATTTGTGTGTAGATTCAGGGATCTGAGACAGAGATGGCGTATAAGATTAAGCTAAGTCCATGATGAAAAATATTGTAGTTTGAGTTGCTGTTCGTGGACATTTATAAGATGGTTCATAGTCTATATCTAAAAGGCGATTAATGATTTTTGGCTCTAGGTACATCTTAACTACCAAAACAAAGGAGAGAATAACTTAAGGCGGGATATCAAAATAAGGATTGATCCATTTTAACCTTGCTGACCTACATGCTGAACTAATGGGGACCTTTTTGACCCAGGCCTTGAGTAGCATGTACTTTAAACCAGGTTGTTCCCAGAAGTTCCATCCTCTTGGCACTTTAAACACTTTCTTAACTTTGTATTTTGTCTGCCCACCAAAAGCCAACTATCACTTACTTACATGAAGCCTTTTGACTAGCTCATCCAGCCAACCTGCAAAACACAGCTGGGGGTGTTACTGCACAGCATTTTTAGGTCTTACGTGTGCATGACAGAGGCAGATCGTTTGAAAACTGACATATGCACATCAACTGTGTGCAAATTTTCTGCTTTCCTGACCCGCTGTAGACTGAGAACTACTGCTAATAAGAGCTAGTGCATTCAATAGTTTGCACTTTGTAGTATGCATTTTTGTGAGACATTAAAAATCACTTGAACTAATACTATTCATTAAAAAATGGGGGAACTTGTGAGAAAGAGGTGCTAACCCATCTGGCCACAGCGTAAACGAACTGATATGACTATGAACAGTGACAGAGGTGAAAACAAAATCTAGGACTCCTGGCAAATTCTCCAAGTTCTAGATATTAAAAAGTGAATGATAAGTAAATACTCCTTTCTTCCTTCTTGGCTTTTTTCTGACATTAGAATTATGGTATTAATGACAAGTGATAACAATATCTTTCCCATTGGAATGAAACACTTACTTACCCTGAAAGAAAGTCATATTGTTTGGATCTGATCTGTTTTGCACAGTTTAATCTGTTGTTGCTCTCTAAATATGAGGCTAATTCTAAGAAGGCTCTGTGACTGTATCCACACCCAAAGCTCTTTTTAATGTTAGCAAACATGAGCATACATGCATGTTTTTAATGTACAATGTATGGATATGCTTTCCTATGTTGTCATAACTTGCATTTGCAGAAAAAGGGCCCTTATGTTGCCATTTGCTTAGATAATGAGCTATATTAAGAGTGCCAGAGCTAAAATAATGACATACTTAACATATATTAAGTAAATTCCCAAGAGGATCCTATTACTCTTAAGGGAAACTGAATTGTCTGTCTGAATTGTTTGAAGTTGTTTGTCTTCTCCCCACACCTTTTAGGACCTTGTTTCCTGAAAGTGGACGTTTGAAAAGAACAGAACAGCTGATGATGACAGCAAATGTTGATCCAACTCTGCGTCCTTTTCAGCTCTCCATGTCACACTTTAGAAACCTGTGCAATACATACAGGAAAATGTGCAATGAAGACCCAAGCCTTTTTGCGTACAATTACAGAGAAGAACTAAGGCAAAAGAAGAAGATGAGGAATTTACTTAAAAGTACCAGTCAGCCTGAACAGACTGAAGAGGAAAATCAGCTGTAACAGCCGTAATTGCACCAGACTGATTTTTTAGTTAGTTTTAACTCCTTGATCTAGAGGTGTTGATTCAGTGAAAGGGGCCTTATATATTCCTACATCTGTGCAGGTATGGAAGAACTACTTTTGAGAAAGTGGTGAAGAGAGAGGGCTTTCCCATTTTATTTATTCATTCCATTCAGCTGCAGACAGAAGTGAAAGGACAGTCCAGTTACAAGGTGCCTACAGGTTCTTTTTACTTCAGGGGAATGGCTAGAACACATACCAAGAGCAAGGTGTGTTGTGAGACAGGTAATTAAGTTGGGATACTTCTGAAATAATTGAGTTTTATATGAATGAAAGTGCATTATTGAAACGTAAGAAAAAATACTTTCCATACTTCAGCATGTAAGACGGTGTTGGGTTTTTGTGCTCTTTTTATCCTGGAACATCCTACTGTGCAGAGTAATTTAAAAAACAAAAGCCAAAACTTGTATAAATATACTCAAGTGACTGACTTAAAGGAGGATAAAGATTGCCTCAGGGTCTGCTAATACTCTTCTCATTTATGCAAAAGCAAAGAATTTGGGATTTAAAGCTCCAACTAGAGAAAAGCAGCATGATAAAAAGTAGAAAATATGGCTAAGTACAATACTTATTTGTCTTTTACTGTACAGGCTGGTAGAGAAAATAAAAAATACAGTCAAATAAAAGATTACAGGCTAAGCTTTGTTTTTGTATTTACACATATGTATAAAGTATAAACAGCATCTTGAAACTTACAAAAATGAAATTTCTGCACTATTGTGCACTAAAACACATTAAAATAACTTAATTCTGCTTTAAATAAAGCAAAAATGAAAACCAAAGAAATAAAATGCCCAAGGTATTGAAAAATTCATTTTGCAATGCTACTTTCCATTGTAATCCCCTCTGCCACTCACTAGCACCTTTTCCACATTACTTAAAATACTAATGAGGCCATCCTTCCCTTCCCCTCCCCAAGAACACTGTATCATTTTAATAACTGCTTGAAAGGGATGAACTAATTTACAGACCTTGGCCAACTTAATCTATTTTTGATCCACAATAAATTAAAATAACTTACTTAAGAATCCTTTACAGCTGTTTTTGTGGAAAAAATGTATTAGTGCACAAAATCAGATAGTAGTTTTCCTGCAGCTTCCATGAATTTACTAGTTTTAAAGCAAAATAAGTTTGTTGAATTTTATGTGGACTTCAAATGAATTTTTAAATACAGTGCTTAGAAAGCTAGGATTTCCCATGCCTCTCTGCAGCTTCATAAAAACAGTCCTCATTAACTACAGATGTTAAACTCTGGACGCTAAATTCTCTCTCTAAAATAGAGTTCAGATCCAGGTTTGCAGCATCAGAGTGACTGTCAAGGGACTGGTGACGTTCTTGCATTGCCATTAAGGTTCCTCTGTTACGCCTTGTGCTGTTTACTTTTCTCTTCACTGGGCAGAAATGGCCACGCACCAGCTTTGGATGCTCTCCTGTCTCGAAGCCATCGCCTTCCTCATTTTCAGCAGCCTGATCCCGTTCAGAGTCAGTACTTGGTTCCTCTGAAATCTTCAGCCGTTGGAACTGTATTTCGATGTCTTTCGTAGGACTGCCCTTTTTTAGGCTCTGATAGTCATCGTCGTCATCATCATCGCTGAGAATATCAGATTCTTTGACAAGAACACTAGAAAAGTCGGATGCACAGCTCTGTACGTGTTTATCGGGAGATGAATTTTTGGGCTCCTGTATGCTGTCAGCGGTGTGGCAGCTGCTGCTCTGCGTGCTGCTGCTCAGGCTGCACTCATCAGAGTCCTGGAAGGTGCCTTTCCCCGGGTCACCGTTCCACTCACTACTGGATGAATTCTTCAGTACCTTCAAGGACCTTGTGGAAGCTGTGCAGAGGAAAAAGGCAGGTTTATTTTTCTGAGCAAAACATCAGCTGGTTGTTACACTGTCTGTCTCAATAGCTCACTTATAATTACAGTGTACATAGTCTCATTTGATAATCATCCCAGGTCAGATGTGTGAGCGTTCCAATACCAACAGCACGATCCCATATCAGAGTTTTCATTCCACCTACCCCAGGGCCATATGCTTGCCTTCACGTGTAACATACACAAAATCCTCCAAAAATTATAGTAATGATTTACACACATCCGCAGGAAAGCAAGACTGATTCAGGCACCTCAAGCACTGGCGGGCCAGGTTGCAGGCGGGAGTTGAACTGTCCCGGCTCCTGTGACGTTAAGGGGATTTTACAGACAACTGATCAGATGGAGAACTTGAAATACTAGTAGCTACTCATTTAACTAAAATGTCTGAAGCCTGTACTTAATTAGAGTATCTGCTGGGATGCAGATTTAGTGCACTGAAAGAAGCAAGACCCCTGCCTTTTGGCAGTTGTTTTAGCTTTCAATGTTATTAGGCCTGAGTTACTAAAGGGAACCCAGAGGAAAGAACACTAATACTGCATGCCAAAGGGAGTCTGTTTCTTCCCAGCCAGCAAAATTAATTTGGGCCTTATTAAGTCTTCCCTTAAGAGAGCTAATGACACATCACAGTGTTGGGGGGATGGCAAGCTTGCTTATCTCCTCTAGCCCTTGTCATTCACTGAGTTGTGGAGAAACTCTACCACCTCCCCAGCCCAAAAAAGAAATGGGATTTGTGGGTCTGGCACATGGCACACTACAATCATGGTAATAATTGCGAACCTTCTGCAGCACTGGAGTCCAGACTCCATTTTTCACTTTGACAACGTATTTCTTACCCAGTTTGGCTGTTGCAGGTACACGGTTCTTGAGTGGGACAAGCCGATCTTTACATGTTTTCTCCAGCGGTAGCTCACATTTTATGTGGCGTCTGAAATTCTCCCGCAAAATAGAACGGATCACCTTCACGATGTTAGTCTTGTTCTCACAGTCACTGCAAGTTTAAGAAAACAGATAACCAGATTTTCCCCTCTGATGTAAGACACTATTGGGATAAAATCTGCCCCCTTCCTTTCTGCCAACGTGCTTTAGCGCAGTGGGTTTTTTTCAGTAGCTTGCTTTAGTAGTGGTTTTGCAGCTAACATCTTTATGTGATGTTAGGCACTTCACACACTGTTTCGAGATCTTGGTTACTTCTCCTTAGAAAAACGGCCTGAAAGGTAACTTGGGTACCAAGGGATCACCCCTTAAGTGGTCTTTATCAGACAGTAATTTCTGCTAACCAACTCAGAGTCCGATAAAATCAGTTACTTTGCCCATATCGTATTGGAACTTACGATCATATGTCTGTGCAGATTTCTGACATTGGATCACTGCACCAAATTCACTCCAATTTCAAATTCTTACACTTTATGCAGTTAAACACTGGCATAGTGCCTGGATTCAAAGAGTGTGAGCTGCATTAGAAGTGCTAATGCAAAGGTCATGCAGGGGAAAATCTTTTTTTTTTTTAATTCCATTAATGTGATTTGTCAAATACAACCTCCATATAAAGCTTACCTGCTGCACAACTGAAAAATTGTTTCTGGCCTGCCTTCTAGTTCTGACTTTGTGTGAATCAGTTCCCAGATACAGCTGTTCTCTGTTCCTGTGCATCGAAGGAAACATTATTTTTGTATATTCTTCACAAAACCTTCAGCATTAGAAAGACCAGTGCAGAGCTCCTCTTCTCCTGAAGGCAGTCTTAACATAGGCATGGGTGGATCCACAGAAGATCTCACCCAAGGTGGAACCCAAAGGAAAGTCCCCTGAACTCCCTTGCTGCAGCAGCCTGGCTAGTGCTGCCTTTGAAAACTCAATCTTCTCTCAGGTGTGCAAAGGCTTTATTTGCCCTAAACACCTAGTGACACTTTACAGAAGACATAGAACTGCATAGGATCATAAAGATCAACTCAAAGGGGAAACAAAACCACAGCCCTCTACTGCCACAAATGACGCAGTCAACTTTCCCACATTTGGAAAAAAGCAAGGCTCAGCACACACAGAACATAAGGGTGTCAACCATGGTAAATCACCTTCCCATTCATGGTATCTTTTCACTGGGGATTTCCATCCTGTCATTCCTTCACATCACGTTGCATCTTCCTGCACTCACGGAAGAAGCCAACATACCACATGAAAAAATTCTGTTAATGTATCAAGCCTGTACCCCCTGAGCGTAGACACAACAGTAGATACTATTTTCTCTACACGTGCCTGTTTCCAGAGGCTCCAGAAAGGCTTATGGAAGAAGCAGTATTACAGAATCCCAGAAAAGCATTCAATCCTGAAGTATTCAGTGCAAGGGAATTACCTGCTGTGTTCCCCAGTCGAACTTGAAGAGCAGATAAAGGAATCAGCCAACGAAATTTAAATGGATCCAAGTCACCATAATTATGTGCAGCACGAACATTAGTAGGCTGCAAAAAGAAAAACAACAAGGATATTTCTAAGAAGTAAAAAAAGTGGGGTTTTTTTGTGTTACTCCTAAAAGACCTGCCTCTGAAGAGAAACTAAATTCATTAGACTTTTTCCTTCAGTACTCTAATATGTGCTTGTAAATGTAATTGAAATGGTGATAGACACAACCTTTGGAATTTGTAATTGCTTCAACTTTTAAAAGCACTTGTTTTTAATGGATAAAAATAATACTTTGCATATAAGTACTACTAGGGAACAAGTTTCCCATGAAGGAGCCCGCAGACTGTTGATTAGGAGAATACATTAATCATGTAGCTGCTGCTGCTACTTTTAGAGCCCCTCTATCTGTTATGATAAGCATGGTGCAGTACTTCACCACTGGTATACAGAATATACAACTTGCTACTTGACTTCAGCATTCATTTTGTAAATGGGGACAGAGGAGGTTATGTTTATAATGCCCCCGTTCCTTCCAGGGTGATCAAGGGTCTATAAACAGAGGTCTTTAACCTACATACTACGTTAAGGTAGGCCATTGTAAATGCCATCTGGAAGAATTAATGATTCCTACGTGGCAATGTTTCATACTCCACCTGATGGAACTAACATGGGGCTCACACAGAGAAGATGCTGCTGCTTACTAAATAACAAAAAATATTTATTGCTGCATAGATACTGAGCACTTGTTTTAGGTGTGCTAGCTAGAATTCCAGCCTAGCGAGGGAAGGTGGCGTTTCACCACAGTCACTCCCCCTTCAGCACCGGTGTGGTCCATCTCACACTGCAGTAGGATCCTGTGCATGAACACCCACCACCTCCACTGATACCAGACTTACCATTTTCTTTTTCAGTTTGTAGTTCTCCTTATACACCAGTATTACAGCCCTCTTAAAAACTAAAAATAAAGAAAAAAAGGAAAACTGTTAATTACAGTGTAATATTAAATGAAAATATTATCTTGGAGAAGCTGATGATTGTAGTCACAGGAATGTGAAGGATGAGATAAGCAAATACTGCCCTGTATTAAGATGACAACTGGGTTTTTCATCCTACGCTTGTTCATGCAATGGCAGTATTTTTTCCTCAGATTTTGTTCTGAATGTTTAGAATGAAGCCATTCTGCACCTTTATTCTGAAACTACCAGCAGCCTGTCTCCTGGTATGTGAAGCAGCCTTCACATAAACAAATACAGCAGATGTAGGTTAGATGTAAAGATTCAGATTTTCTTTTTTTAATCGGTGGATGTTTTCAAGTGGAGTGAAGGGCCTATATCAAGAGAGGGCTGTGAAAAAGGACACTAAGTCTGTTTTTCCTGCAGTTCAGCATTTGTTTAGTTGGAATCTCAAACATCTCAATCCCTGCTTTTCCATTTGCAGGAATTCTCTGGCTTCCACAACATCCGACCGGATAACTAACTAACTAATGTTACCTAACTAACGTTTCAGCCTCCAGGGAGGCAGGGACATGTTCTCTCTCACCTGTAAGGAGGAACAGAGACATGTGGGCATTGAAGCTGCAGCTGAACTAAGGGATTGCTCTGCAGAGCAGTCCTGGATCCCAGATCAAATGCAAGGGCAGTATAGCTCTAACCCTGCTCATGCATCCATGTTTCCTTCCAGTGGAAGAGGAGAGAGCAGCAATGGTATGCGGTTGAGTCTCATCCCTACATGAAGCCAGGATGCAGCCATAGCGAGCACAGTATTTACCCCAGAGCTTGGCAGTTTCCCTCAGTTCCACATATTAGGTGCATTTTCTAAGCTGCCCACATAGGGTTTGAAGTGAGAATAAAACTCAGTTTCCCAAGTGGCAGACAAGTAGTCTGCCATTCATTCATACATGTCCTGCTGGGAAGTGTCTGGCATATGTGGATCACTGCGGAGCTCATCCAAGGAACCTGGGACGTAGCTCCTGCTTGTTCTTCTGTTAGAAGCATCACCTCCCCTAACCTGTCATGCCTCCCGGAAAAGGAGTGCACGACAGCCCTGAGAAAAAGAAACTTGTCTCTCGTCAACCCGAGTTGTTCTGTAGGTGTTTATCCAGTGACATTTTAAAGAAATATTTTTTAAAGAAATGGACAAGTGCCTAAGATGTTTCACTGGAAGATTTAATTACTTAGGTAATTACTAAATGATTAATCATATATATACTATTAAATAAAACTCTTGGTTGTATACTCTCATTTCCACATTCATTTCTCAGTTAAAATAATCTGGATGGGGATTTCGATGCAGTAGCTGTAAAGCAGAGCTTAGCCTAAATTCCCAGGAGTAGAATAAATCACCATTTTCCTACCAGCCTCCTTTGAAAGCTTGGTTTAGCAGATTGTTCTAAAGAGAATATTGTCTCTTGAAAATCACTAATTTCCATAGTTTACATATAGGCAGGAGAGCAGCTGAGGTTGGCTCACAGAGCAAACAGCAACAGCAAACAAATGAATGGAAACTTTTCACTTCTCGGATTACGATATAGAACTATGTATTTTTTCAGATGTAAGTCTACCTAGATATCACATGGCTACAGTGAAAGGAGATGGTGGCTTTCATCTTGTAAGAAGATTTAATGTGGTAATCTTTAGATTTGAAAGAGCAGAGAGTCATTAAGGAAGACACTTACCAAACACTGTAAGTTCAAGGTCTTTTCTTGCTTTGCCCAGTGATGGGAAAGGATTCAGCCAGGAAACTGTAGAGTGCATCAGAAGTTCTCCCATTGAAAGCTCTGTCACCTGTATTAAATTATAACAGTAGATAATATAAATAAACAATATAAATATATATACATCAGTGCTGCGATCCATATATGTGAGTAAAACGTTAATGAGTACACATCAATAACTTTAAGGATCTATGTTTTCTGTATTTACTTTATGTACAGAGAGAAGGGCAGAGAGATCTGCACTATGGCAGGAAAAGTGTGAGTAATCCCCTTTTTAAAATAAGTAACAACTATAAAAAGTAGTAGCCCGTAAGTTATGGAAGCTGGATAGAAGTTCTTACTATTAATAACTTGGAAGAATATTAAGTTGATCTGATGATCTGCCACTTACATGTTGCCAGTTGCAAACTGGCTGATTTATTAGCTGTAAGTATCTTTAATTTCTATAGAGTAATTAGTATCAGTGACACTGCCAATGGCAGAATTAATGGAGGTTTCGTACTCTGAGGCTGCTTTCTTCTGTGGGACACTGTGAAGAATCTCCCAGGCTGTCAAGTTTTGTTTCCTCATAAATGATGGGAAACCAGGTAGCCAACAGGGGCGATTTGGCTTTTACTAGGAGGAAATAAAACAACTGAGCCGGCATCTCTCATATCTGATCTTCACCTTTACGGATTTGATCTGCTTAGTAATCATTTCATGTAAATAGCTAAGTTGAGACCTTGCTGCCCCAGTTCTGGAAGATGTGTGCACACAGTCTGTTTAACTAATGGTTTTTGCTCTGACAAATACCCGTGGATGCCTCAGCGCTGGAAGTGTAGAGAATGAGAATAACAGACCTTAATGTGAAATCCCTCAAATTGCCATTTTCATTTATATGGGTGAAAAAATATCTTAAGAACTTAAGAACTCTATAGCATAAAATCTGAATGCCTTAGGGCATGGATAATCTCTGCAACATTTGAGAAGAGGAGGATTTTTACTGCTGAGAATTATGTCTACTCCTGCTTTCAATTCCTGTCAGTCCAGAAGGCGGCTCTGGCAGCTGTCTGAAAATTTTACCGTAACCTACTGACAAAAAGAAACTTCACAGGCAGATATGAAATGGAAGTCAAAATATTAAAGGAGAATGGAGGAAGCCCAGCACAAATAAGTTCCCAAAATTATCTCAGGAAGAGATAAAACACCCAATGGCAAGCAGGATAATGCTTCAGGATTGAATAAAACATGTTGTTCCTTCTCTTACCTCCTTCTCTGTTCCACTTTGATCTGCAACCAGTTGGTCAAATACAGTGCCATAATCTTCATATATCTTCTGCATCTCGTTGATGTGACTTGCTACTTTTTCCATTGCCTTCAGTGCTTCTATAAGGTTTAAAAATTTCATACACAGCTATGTAATTCAATTGTGTTTCCTAAACATGACATTTTTTATTGAATTCCACTTGAAGCAGGCAAAATGACGCAGTGTTCCCAACGTCTGGTTAACAGAATTCTAGCTTTATATCAGTGCTTTCTCATAGCAACGTAAAAGGTATGCCTCCTGATCAGAGTAAGTGAAAAATGCTTGTCTGGTGTCTTAAGTGCCTGAAAAGGCCGCAATAAGCATTCCAGTGATAAGCCCCCAGATGCATGAATATTCCTATCAACACGACAGTAAACACGGTTAGGTTTTGCATCTTGCATATATAGGGCCACTAGGATCTCTAGAGTAATCTACACCCATAGTAGGGTAAGTCATCTGATGAGCTTTAATAGAAACAAATTGCATTTGGCTCACCACAGAATAGACAAAGAAATACAGTGCTAGGTTGTACAAGTTCCTCATGGATTGTATCCATGACATTAAATGCTGGTGGCCAGGTTTTGTTTATATTTTGTTTTCTAAGCAAGAATGACACTAGATTTCATTAGACTTTTGTGTCTAATGGAGAGGAGTTGAAGGGCGCTTAGTTTTCCAGTCCTGCCAGCTCTTAACTGTGCAGCCTTTTAGAAGTTTGGCATCAATCCTGACCTGCAAGTAAGTCACCCCCAGCTTCGTTGCAAGGGCAAGGGAACAGTATTAGAAGCTCCCTTTGAAGTCAGTAACAGCCTCATGACTTTTTGCTGACAATGTGTTTTGCCTGAATCTATTTTGTTAAAATGACAATCATTCCATGAAATAAATCTCTAGACTTTCATCCACCAGGTGCTGACAGACCTGAACTGGAATTGGCCAGGGTGAAGTCCCAAGCGTCTGAGCCTAGAAAAGCAATCAACTCTAATATATATTAGACAGGCAAGTCTCTGTAGGAAGACTGCAAAGCTTTGACACAGATCTCTTCTACGCCAGCAAGAGTCACAGCCAAACCTCAAACAACTATAATTTCCTGCTGTGGCACTCTTAAACTTTGACACATTTCAAAAACTGAGTAATAGCCACAAGATGGAGCTTTGGTCAGTGTTTCCCAAGTGGGGAAAAAAACCCCAACACTATGACCTGACATGCTCCTGTGCAATAATTGAGGAGAAATACGCCGATCCTATTTGCCATGGCAAATCCTGGGTATATCTACTTCTCAAAGGGACTTGGACATACCAAGTAGGACTTTTTGCTAAAAGCACGAAAAAGCTACTTACTATTTTTAAGGAGAGGGAGGGAATTCTCTCTCTGTTTTGACAAGTTCTGTGCTATCTACCAGAATGGCTACCTGCATTTTCAGAAAGGGCTGGAAATAAAACTTAACTCATATTTATTCCTGTAGAAGAAAGGAAGAAGTTACCTGTCAAATGATAGTGCTCCTCACTCTCATTGTCTGTCAGAGACACCAGCTCTTTTAAAAGCAGAGGATATTTCAGCACTCTCTGAACAGGCTTTATGAGATACGACTCCAGTGTAGAAGAGTGTTGCTTTGTGGGATTTCGAGCATCCAGAAAGGCCTTAAAGGCACTATCTGTTTTGGCTAGATGGAAATAAAAGAGTTGGTCAATTGAACGTGGAAGTCATAGAAGCCACAGTAACTTGAAAGCACAGAACTGCAACTTGTAACCAGCACCAAAAGCCTCACCCTTTTCAATAGATGGTTTACAAAGTAGTTTACACTATCCATTTCATAATCATTTCCTGCATTAAATAACATACATAAGGGCTAAGAGAGCAAGTATATCACAGTGACATTATTCCTCAATGTAATTTTTCCACTGCACTGCAGTGGATGGCAGGGGAAGTAATTGCTAACTTATTCTACCATTTGTTGCTGCTTTTTGGAGTATGAGCTGGATCTGCAGATGGCACAAACTCGTGGAAGATGCTCCTGTAGCTAGTCAGGCTACTGCCTGGATGTTACAAAAGAAATGTTATCCCTTCAGTTCTGTACCATACTTCAGCAGAACCGCAGATCTTAGCTATTCCTATTGAAAGATACCCGATTAGCCCTTGCTTTGTACCAATATTCTCTGCAAGCTGACAAGATTTGTTACAGTAGTTCACTGGAGTTTAAATTCATGCAAATGAATTACAATAATGAAGACAATAAATTACCTCTCTCGAGAACTTTCTGAACTTTGATGTGGTTTGCGCAGAAGCCACTGTACAGTTTAAAGTGGTCAGCATAATACAGAAACGAGCCTCCGAGGGAAAACAGCAATTTCTGAAATCAACACAATCAAAATATTAATTCATTACTAGAATCCTAAATAAATGTTCAGGCACATAACACAGAGGCTCAACAGTGAGATTATCTGCTATCTTTCTATACATATCCTATTTTTTTTTTTATATATATATATATG